GTACACGGAGGTGTTATCACTTAACACGCGGGTGAGAGGGAGACCGCTACCCAGGCTACAGTACATTTGGGTTTTTATCTGCGATAAGGCAATGTTTCTGAGCTGTGGTTCTTCTGACTCCATGAAAAATAGAACTTAAAAAAAAAAAAAGGTGGTTCTTTTCAAGTGTTTTTAAAAAAAGCATCTTGTCCTCTTGTGATGTGCAGGAGTAAGGATGCCTAGAGGCAGTGCAGAAGGCAGAGATGAACGTGTCTGTGCAGGTAGCTTGGCCACCCCTAGCGCGGACAGATAGCTACTGACCTCAGTGAATGGTGGCAGAGAAGAATAAAGATCGTATTTAGTCCTGGCCCTCTAGCTTCTTTTCCAAAAATCTGCATTAACCAGTAACAATGCTCTTGAAAGGCACAGTTATTTTTCAGGAGTGATTCTGTCACATATGCCCTAAGAATACTTAACTTTTCCTACCTCTCTCAGCAAATACCCTCTATTATTTCCAGTTTATTTTCCAAACCATTATGTTTCCTGGCTGCCGGTCCTGCAAACTAACAGTGGTCTCAAGAGAGAAGCTGTTGATATTTTCCCACCAGATCACAAATTGCCCTTACCCACCTTGAGCTACACAATGTCCTCCCACAAGCACCGCTCCTACAGGAAGACACATGAGCTGCACCTAGCAGCTGCCTGGGTGATGCAGTGGTTGGCTTTGAGGTAATAAAGAAAGGCTGGGTGCCCAAGACAGCCTGCAATCATCGCTACTGTTTTCCGGACTCACAGAACAAAACGGTGTTCGCCACCAGCATCAGCAGCTAGAACGGGCCCTAGAAAGAGGTGATTTTATGTCACTATAGATAACAATAGGTCTGTACAAAGCGCGGGCTCAGACTTGTCCCATTTTTGCTAAGCAAATGTATCCCGCGCAAATCCAACAGCCATCACAAAATGAGAGTGTTTCCTACGGTACTAGTTTTGCCTCTTACTCCTTCCTGCCTGCACAACCTCCTCTCTCCTCCCCCCGCCCCCCCATATCCTAAGGCACTTAAAGTTAACTAACTTTAGCATACTTGCAGCCAGCTTGATTGAACTGACTGAGCTGCTTCTGATGTTACTGATAAAGGCTTCCATCTGCAGTGAAAATACAAAGCTCTGCAACACCCTATGGAATCCATAAGAACTTCTTGGTAAAAGGGAGGGTTTGGTGAGGGCCCCAGAGCAACATATGGGGCCACATGGGTGGTTGGCTGAACAGACAGGAGGACCCTTAGACAAAAGAACTTGTCCTTCCCCTTGGTCAGCTCACTTATGCTCCAGCAGGAGCTGAAACTGAACCCTGTGCTATTTAAAGCAGCAGATTTTAATGAGGGCTTTTATTACCTATGCTGAGCAGTTTTATTGGCTTTGACATGACCACAATTTTACTGTTACCAAAAACATAACTGGTAGAAAAAGCTTGAAAGTCCAAGTAGCGTCTCTGCCGTGTCACTGACAAAGTCCTTGGTGGCATCTGGGGCTGGCCTCCCACCCTCCATGCTCCCCAGCTCTTACCACCTCTTTGAGAACCAGCTACAGGTGCTGAAGGCTGGGTGATCCAGTACAGAAGCAGCTCCGTAAGGGATAAGCTTGGAGGGGGTGGCTGTGAGGGTGCTCAGTCATCATCAGAGAAAGCTAAGTCCTCCACAACGTCCTCTTCTCCTTGGGCTAGCTGTTCGAGGTCAGACCGTGACATCCCACGAGTGCAGCTCCTCTGCTTCTGTGACCCTTGGGAAACCCGAGCAGCTTCCTTGCTTTCCTCTGTGGGTGGAAAGAGTGAGAGGTGTAAATCCTGCCTGACTGGGAGTGAGAGTGAGGCAAGTCAAGGCAACTCATTGCTAATTAATCCCAGACACTCATTAATTTATTGGCGCCACTGCAGCTCCCAGATAGTGGTAGGAGAGCGCTGCAGGGTGCTCGGTACAGCGCTGGCTCTGAAGTACTTGGGGCGATAGGAGGCCTAGCTGTTGTGCCCGAGGCAGAAACGCAAAATAGGAACTGGGGGGCGTGAGATACGCAGTGCCTCCAAACCTTCAGCCCTCACAGCTCAGGACAGTCTTCCTCACTAGAGATGTCAGGCTGGGCATTAAGAGCTGACAGAAAGGAGCTGTCGTAGGTAATTGCAAGACTCCCAAATGCAAAACTAGCCCCAAGCTCCCTCTCCTTTTCTGACGTGATATTTTAATAGTGGGGAGCACAAGTCACAACTGGTTTCTAGGGGCTGTGCAGGACTGTACACATCCTCATTCCCAGTGCCCTTCCCTCTCATTCCAGAAGCGTAGCTTGAGCTTCCTACACCTTGCTTCCAAAGGGGGCCCTGCAGACCATCTTTCTTAGGCTCTACCAGCAAAGCATCTGCTCAGCACCAATTCCTACCTCCGGTCTTATGTCCGCAGCCTCTCACAGGTTGTGGAGGGCGGCGGCAGCAGCGGGACCTGGCTGCCTCTCCCTCTCCTCAGCACTCCCTGATCAGTCTGCCAGGCTCTGCCAGTTCAGCCCACTCGCCAAAAAAGGACAAAAAGCTACTTCTGGCTGCCCAGATTGGGGGCTGGATGCTCACTGCAGTTCACATCTTTCAAAACCGCCCTGGTGACACCAGAGCATCAGGACCACAGAAGCGCCTCTCCAGGGCATTGAGAGTGTGTGCAGAGTTCTCCCCTAAGGCCCTGGCCTGCTGGAGGGTGGGAAGCTGTCACGACACAAGCTCCTCGCTGTTCCATTGCCCGACCAGGCTGAATGCGTGTGTGTGTGTGTGTGTTTCGGTAAAAAGCACAACAGGAACACGGAGCACACAGGACTTGGGAGGGGCGGATCTGCCTGTCTGCCCTGCCTGCCTGATGCTGAAATAGTGTCATAGGCCAGGAGCACCCGGGCCTGAATGTCACTGCCACTGCACCAGTGTGCCCAGGCACTAAGAGACTCTGCTGGCTCTACACCATGCTCCTACAGCCCAAAACGAAGGAAGCTGCCATTAGGGGTGAAGGAAGGGAGGATCAGAGTTCCTGCTCCCCCAGACACCAAGGAAGGGTGCTTTTCCTTCCGCTTGTCTGAGCACTCCAGTAGGCAGAGAGGGAAAACTCTCCCTCTTTATCCTTTACAGCATTGTCAGAACATGCATCAAATACTCATCTATTCTCGGCGCCGAGGTTTGGGTGTGCATGCCAAGCCACAGCCATCTGCCATGCTAAAT